TAGAATGGAATAAAATAAAAAAGTAAATATAAATTTAAAGTACATGATTAGCATATGATCCATTTGTATAGGGTTTCCTCAATGTTTGGCCCTCAAAGACTACATTTTCCAAAATTCTCCATCATTTTCCCTTCAATCTGAGACTCTCCCAGATATGAATGACAATGCATCACATTCCTATGAAAGCATGGCCCCTGCTTTGATCAGATGCTCCTAAGAGGTTACATTCACATTCCTATGAAAGCATGGCCATAATGCTTGATCAGATGCTCCTAAGAGGTTACAGACCATTTCCGCCCTTATCCATTCATACCCATTCTGTCTGTGATCTTGGGGATTCCAGGTGAATGCTGATTAATTTTATGTGGCAAAGTGGCAAACAGAGAAAACCCTCAATCACTGTTGCCACTTTATTAATCTCAGTTAAAACGTAATTGGTTTCTGTTGGGTTATTTAATGGTCAATAACTAGGGCAGTTGAATAATTAAGGCATTTAATTATGAAGTATTTAAAAACCAACCTGTCTTGAATGGACACAGTTAGAATCTCTTTCAATTTCTCTTGATCTGATGTAAAATTGCCAGAAACAAAAGAAAGAGTGGAGCAGTTTTGCTTTGCTGTATAACATTTAATGACTAGCTGTCCTTTCATTTTTGACACAGAATTCAAGATTAATGAGATTAGTCAAGCTGACCGGGCAATTTAAATTCCTTCCAAAATTGAATGGAGTCCTAAACTGATTTCCTATTCAGCCAATTAAGTCAAACATTTTAAGGAACTATATAGCATCTATGGAGCTTATGTGAATTAAGATGCAATTATATCTGTGGAATCATGAATCTGATTTAGTAAGTCAGGTGGATTCAACTGGGAAATGAAATGAATTTGGACATGTTAACTACTGTACCATTTGAATTTCCAATCTGAATAACTGATTCAACCTCATATCATTTATCTGACTTGGACTCTTGATTCAGTCCAGAAAAGTGAGTTTTGGGAATGTTCTAAATCTTATGGAATCATCAGATCAATTCAGTGACATTTGTTTTTATGCCACTGAATTGATAGCTGGCTTTTTTTCTTTCAGAATGTCAGATTTTGTCAGATCACAAGAAACCAAGAAAAGCAAGTGGAAATACTTCTGACCAGTTTCCTTTATTTTTCCTCCCCTATAGACAGAATCTTGCCAAACTAAAGCAACTATTTGCATCATTGTAGATATGAGAATTGCTAGGGAGGATCCTGCTTAATTCTTTTTCTCCTGACCAAATTATCCCTCTTTGCCATCTGGAATGCAGCACCTCCCTTCTGGGAATTCAGACTACATTCCACCACAGATTTGGAAAAGCAATTATACCACTGCAAATCAAATATTTAAACTAATATTGCTACATCCCTAAGCATTTACTTGAAATGAAGATTAGATTTATTTTTTTCCAACTAATTTACTTTTAAAAGTAAACTTAGTTTTGGATTTTATTGAGAGGAAAGACTAGATGAAAATACCTGCACAGAATAATTCTAAAGTTCTCTTTTTCTACTATTTCTCTGCATAAACACGGAGGCACCATGACATAAGCACCAATTTCTTTACAGTTCCTATTAATCTGATCAATGTGATCTTATTTTCTTAACATGGTTATGTTTTGTTTTACTTTTTGTAAAATACATCACACCTTGACCATAACAATTTTATAAGTAAAATTTTATGGGTTTTATTGTGGATTTTGTCTCCAGTTTCATATATTTTCTTTCTGTTTTTGAACTACTCTCTGATTGTAATAAAAATCTAGTTTTGTATATAATTTAGGTAAAAAACACCAAAGTGGTATAAGTAGTCATCTTTCAAGTGATGCAGAATGATGGTGAAAACTATGTAAAGAATAAAGTTTATCTCTGCTGGGAATCTCACAAGACTTTAGGATTCTTAGGTTTGTTACTTCTGAGCTGCTTTTCTAGGGCTCAATAAAATCAAGATGTATGCTAAGAAAGCCAACAATGAAGAAACACAAACAAGGGAAACACTTAAACTTAGACGCAAGTATACCACAAATTAAATGGCACCAGAAAGTGTGAAAAAGCACATTAAAGCCAATATTTTAGAAACAATGTTTGCAGTCTTACTAATCATCAGGAAATATGCAACAACTGAGCCAGAGACTTTTCAGTTGAGAAACCTTTGCATATCTCTGTACTAAAGACCTTTTGACATTTGCTACAGAACAAGCCTTGGGTATCTCATAACAAAATATCTTCTAGATCTCCACACAAGAACATCTGAAGTTCTTTTCTCCACTGAAAGATTTTTAAAGCTTCAAGTGAATGAAAGCAAGTAGAAATATAGTACAATCAAATACTCCTGACTGCTTGAGTAGCCATGACAGACAACAGTCCCCAAGATTCCTCACCCTTGGCCATAACATTGAGGGTTCTGGAACCTAAAATTTCATGAGTTCCTCACATCTATTCCACTGTTGCAGGACATTGTCTTGTACTTCAGACATGGGTTAGAAAATACTTTACTTTTTCAGATTGATTAAGGGCTGGATGCTCAAACACCAAGCCCTCGAATTAAAGTTGGAGACAAGCTGGTAACATATTTGAGAAAAAAATCTGAGGCAATATAAATTGTCCGTGTTTGTCAGCAAAAATCCAACAGCTTTCAAAACAAATGTCCATTGAAATAATTTACAGCTGAAAAGGATTCCTTTTTCTCTTTTAAAAGATAGATTAAGCAAACAGAATTATGGGTACATATGCAATGTTATAGATTTTTAATAGCATTTTTTATTAATTTACTATTTGCTGATTGTTAATGTTTGTGTGAATTTCTGTTCATTGTGTCTTAATCCTGTCTTCATTATTTTATTTTATCTGCAGCAAAGAAAGAATCTCATTACCTTTCTTTGCTTCCCTTGTTTAATGAGGTTTAAATTAGTTTTAGCTGACTTCTACTTTGTTTAATTGCCTACTTGTTTACTATAACCTTGATAAACAAGAGGATACTGTTACTTAGCATCTTTCTTTCAACATACACTAGTCTTTGTCTGATCAGTACTAAAATTAAGACAAACTGTCTCAGATGTGTTAGAAATTCTTGTTACATTTTATTGATAGACTGAGTATTCTTGTACAATCACTTGTACAATACTGTTTAAAGTGCCAAATAAATTAATTATATTGCACCAATTTAATGTTGCTAGTAGAATAATGGGAATTTCTAGTTTCTAATATATTTTGTAAATATTTGTCTAATTTTTAGAGCTTGTAAATCCCTTTTCCACATTTTCCTTCCTTTTTATTTTTTGCTCTTCTCTTTTCTTTAGCTTGTTAATTATTTTTTTAAAATAGAAGAAAATAACAAGAAAAACAGAATTAAAGAGGTTTCAAACTTATTTATGAAAAAAGTATATTCTGAGTTCATTAAAGCTAGCAAGTTGAAGTAAACAGTACTGTTTCCTTGGACAAGTTTGGAAAAGTGCATATTATGCTTAAAGAGAAAGTTATTTCTGGGTTGATGAAGGAAGATTGGAGTGTATATACAACTGCAGAGTTTCACCTAGAGTCCAAGGCTGTAAAGAGGGCTTAACTGAGAAGTCCTTTCAGAGTGCAATATCTTCCTTATTGAATAACCTCTGTCAGTTCCTATGCAAAAAAAAAAAAAAAAGAAAAAAGAAAGAAAGAAAGAAAAGAAAAGAAAAGAAAAGAAAAGAAAAGAAAAAGAACTGGTTTTAAAACCGAAGGACCTGGCTTGCAGTTTGCATAGCATCTCTGTGCCTCTGTTTTAATTTTTTTCTCAGCATGCAGTTACAGCTACTGGTTTATAAAGTAGTGATAATAATCTATTGGAAGGTTAATGAAGATTAAGCCCAGGATTACTTCTACATCTGTAGTGTTTAACTGAGACAATTAAATGACAGGGACTCTAACATAATGGCTATTGCATTATATAACCAAAACCTACATTTTCTTAGTCCAAACAGCATAGTCTTCTTACTTGAGGCAATTTTTCTTCTGTCCTTCTCTCCAATTCATTTTTAAAATAATCACCAGTAGCTCACAGCATCTCTGAAGATGCCAGATCTGTCATTTTTTACTCTATGTCTTTTTGTCTCTGTGTCTGGTATACTGCCTCTGGACATTGAACTTCAATTTACCTGTTACATCTAATAGCCAAACCAGGTTGAAAAGTTAGAAGGCAATAAGGCAAATGTTGGAGACAATCTCCCCTTCTCAGAACTGCTAGTTTTATTTCACTATGTGAGAAGAAACCATTTCAAGAAGACCTCTGCTTCTCCTTGAATCCCTCCACTTCCATCCCCAAATCTAGTGCTTTAAAGATAGCAGAATAGCAGAGTTGGAAGAGATCCTTGAGGTCTTCTACTCCAACCCCTGTTCAAACAGGAGACCCTGTACCATTTCAGACAAAATTCCCACAACTTCTAGAGGCAAGGCGTTCTGCTAATTAATTGTTCTCACTGTCAGGAAATTTGTCCTTATTTCTAAGTTGGATCTCTCTCTGATAGGCTTCCAACAGATGAGATGTTATATTTCAACTCATGTCATCCCAAACTAGCAAGTCTGTTGGATTCAAGATAATATTCTCCATTGTTTTTCATCCACTGAAGTAATTAGTCCACTAAAAGGGAATGTGTGCCCAAATCCCAATGGCTGGAATAACTTTTGGAATTATATTTAAATTATTTTTACTGCGTGAACATTTTCATCTACCAGATCATTTCACACAGTTCGTTCCTCACTTTGGCAGGTGAATGTTTCTTTTGAATCTTCCTCATTCCCTGAAAAAAAAAGACTTTGAATAGATACAAATTTTTCCTCTCAAAGCCAGGAAGTTTGTTTCTTTCCCTATATCTATATAGGTATGCTAACATTTAGTTATTCATTTCACCTATTTGATCCAAAGCTCATTTAGTGAGTCTTCCATGGTCCATCTCAGTCCCCAATAAAAATTGCAATGAAGAACATATCAAAATACTTACACTTGTTGGGTGCAAGAATGGCAATGGAAGCAGCAAAAGTGGAATTAAAACAACCAGTAGTAGGTTTCTGGCCTGGAGAAAGTCCTTGGCTACTGTGATCTTACACTGCATATTGTTAGCTTGTTGGTTTTCTGATGAATATTCCCAAATGGACTCTTCCGGTCAATGTTTTCTTCTTTTCCACTGAAGAATTTCCTTTCTTCAAAGATACCTCATTCAATGCATTAAGAGGCTTGTGATTTTTAGGTAGGGCCGACTAATGGCTCTTCACAACCATCACACTGTAAGTACCTGAAGAACATAGTGCTCTTTGGCTTTTTGGTGATCAGGAAAATCTCCAGGCTACTTCCTTGGTGCAGAATGTCTTTCCACCTTCCATCACTATTTTAAAGGAATGCAAATTGCACCTACAATGATACAACTGCTTTGCTCCCCAGTCACACACTGCCAGGGGTGCCCCAACTGGGTATTCACCCTGATAATTAAAACTTTGAAGAAAACTCACAGTTCTTCAGATTTACTTCCTCCTCTTTCTCCTTTGTGCTCTGTTGTGTTTTTTCCTTTCTCAACTGCTTAGGGATTAGCTTTTTGTTACTTTCTTTTTCACCCCCACTGCTAGGAATTTCACAGCAATTCTTGCAAAGATTACTTTGACTTTCAGATAAAAACCTGAATCTCAGCCTACCACAGCTCACCAACACACAAGGTGGAAGAGTCTTTTCCCCTTTAGGCAAAACCTAAGGAGCTTTCTGGGGAAAAAATCAATGTCCTTCCATAGAAAAGGCTATTCCCACTCAACCACCCTGCAGCTTCTCTAGCTCCAGCCCCAGAGGCTGGACAGTGTGGCAATTTCAAGGTCAGATAGCTGCTGTGAAAATATGAATCCCTGTTGTCAGTATGAAATAATTCATTAATTTCCTTCACTTTCCCCCCAGCACCTTTCTTTCTGAAGAATGCATATATTTGTGGCATTTACACTGAATGGTAGAAGCTATTCACATGTGGTGGATGCATTCAGTGTTGTATTCCAGCAGTATATAATAGAGTAGAACAGAACAGAACAGAACAGAACAGAACAGAACAGAACAGAATAGAATAGAATAGAATAGAATAGAATAGAATAGAGTACTTTATTTGGCCAAGTGTGATTAGACACACAAGGAATTTGTCCGATGCAGAAACTCTCAGTGTACATACAAACAACAAAGTAATATAATCATAAGACACCAATAGGAGAAAGTAGTAGGAAAGCTGAGAAGGATAATAGTAATACAGCCATACTACATGGGTAAATATCCTTAGGCATAAGACAGTGCTATGGAATTAGGTGTAGTGTACATGCAAAGCAACAGAGTAACAATAATCATAATAATGATACCAATAAGAGGGAGGTAGTAGAAAAGATGAGAAGGATAATAATAATACTACAGCCATACAATATGGGTGAATATACTTAAACATAAGACAGCACTGTGAAAATTAGGCATTCAGCAGAGTGATGGCATGAGGGAAAAACTGTCCCTGTATCTAGTTGTTTTGGCATGTAATGCCCTATAGCAGCGTCCTGAGGGGAGGAGTTGAAACAGTTTCTGCCCAGGATGTGAGGGGTCCGAAGATATTTTCTCAGCCCTTCTTTTGACCCATGCAATATACAAATCTTCTATGGAAGGCAGAGTAGTTATAATTTTATTTCTGCAGTCTTAACTATCCATTGGAGTCTGTACTTTGCTGTACCAAACCAGACAGTTATAGAAGTACAAATGACAGATTCAGTAATTCCTCTGTAGAATTGTATCAACAGCTCCTGGGGCATTCAAATCTGGATTCTTTGCAGTATATGGCTGGATGTACTTGTAGCTTCTCACAATCTTACACAATTCCAGGAATTTCTCACCACCCTGATCAGGGTCAGAAGAAAAGTGTGACCAGGCACAGCTTGACTTTGCATTAAGTTCTGCTGGTGTGATCACATTTTCAAGTCATGTGGATGCTGTACTATATTTTTCTTGGTGGGTCTCCAACTCTGAGTTTAGCTGTATGACATGCAGAAAGGCATTTTTTAACTATCACCAGACTGGAGAAGTTAGCTACTCTGCCATGCTGCTTCTCTGCTTTCATTATGGGGTAACATAGAAGTCCTGTTTGCTGTAGTAATATCAAGAATTAAAAGTGCCTTGTAAGGGCTTGTTCACAAACAAAAGGAAAAAAAAACCCTTTGCTAACAAGAGAGAGAATGTGACACTGTAACATAGAACATCTGTTAAAACAGAGGTCCCCAACCTTGGCTACTTTATGACTTGTGGACTTCAACTCCCAGAATTCCTCAGCCAGCCATGCTGGTTGAGGAATTCTGGGAGTTGAAGTCCACAAGTCATAAAGTGGCCAAGGTTGGGGACCCCTGTGTTAAAATATTCAAAGATGGCAGCCATTTTGCATTTGCAGTATATGGCAAGCTTAATAGCTTGGTGAAAACATGGCACATGAGAATGGTGCCACATAGGCAGTCTTTACAGGGCCAGCTAATTAAGGGCAACTGATTTTTTTAAGTACAGTCTAAGCAACTCTCATGCCATAAGAAGGAAAAGAAAATATGATATCTGAATATACCTTCAAACCAAATTTTTAAACTTTAGTTTAAAAGAATTTTTTTTAACAATGCAGATTAAATCTGAGCACCACTGATAAGGACAACTACAAAAACTTTGATCGACAAAGTGAAAAAGTTAAGGCTATAACAGCTATGGGAAAAACTCTGTTTTGACCCTCTTCCCTGGATGCCCTAAACACATGCTTATTTTGGTTAATCCATGGCTGGATTCATTAAAAATTTTCCCTTAGCATATTGTAAAAATTCTACCCAATGAGAGAAGTCATATTCTCTTTTGAGCACAATGATATTCACGAGGCAGATTCTGTAACCTGATAAACTGAAGTTTTTCTCTCAGACTTCTTGCTAGAAAAAGCTTCAGCTGACCTATCTATCTATCTACCCATCCATCCATTCATTCTTCTACTTCTATTTTTCCCCCCAGTTCCCTTAGTTTATTACTTGCTGGCCCACCATGGATATTGTTACCCTATCTGTTTAGTTATCCCTTACAAGCCACATGGACATCAAAATAAACAAAACTGAAAGAATACATCATTTCCTTCACTTGTGCTATGTCATTTTTGGTCAAAATTGTCTCATATGAATGATCATTTCAGGAGGATTATGGAAGCTACGTGTAGCCTTCTGATTATAGGTTTTGCCACTTAGGAAACTGACTAGATAGGTCAGAGCCCAAAGGACTCCATGCTTTCCAGGGTTGTCCAAAGGGTGCATAACAAAAAGTCAAAATGGCAGCTAAAAACAACAACCAATTTTGATCTAATGTAAAGATTTACAATTAAGCTAGTTCTCTCCTCTCTCTTTCTCTCCCCCATCATTTGCTAGTCTTTTTACATACTTCCTCTAATAAATGAACCCCAAACCCAAATATATTTTGGAATCTGGCTGCTTTATTTCTTTCTCATGAAATTATTGGCTGAATAAAATAGAATGATTGGGATGCCATCGTTATATTTTGTAACTACTGACATTATCCACAATAAAAGAGGCAGATGAAAACCCGAAAGCTGGAAAGACTTTATTTTACAAACTGGAAGTTCTGGACTGTAAAGAGTTATTTCTAAGTTCATTGTTCTACAGGGAGTTGCATAATATTTTATGCTTTGTTTGTATATGTATTATTCAGAGAGCAAGCCAAGGCTCACTGTTAAATCAACAATACTTCATTTTGACTGTGGGAGAAGTCACATAGTGCTATGAAATGTGACTAAAAGTTTAGCTAAGGTCTTGCTAAAAGGCTGCCTTGTGAAAGATTCACAGGTTGTGTTGAGATGATTAAATCTAAAATCTTGAGGACATGTGCTACTATCATCTCAGGGCATACAAATTCTCTAACCTCCAAAACAGCCACCATTTTAGATTTTCAGAAACAAGACTTTTTTTTTTTAATCTGCTACAAACAAATGCAAGGTGATTGCCGCTTTATGTTCAGATTGCAACTGGTAAGACTAAAACTCAATCAAAAAGTTGTACATAATCAAAGCCAGGCTTGCAGTGTGCATGTGCTTCTTAGCTTCCAGTATCATGCAATGCAATAGAGCTGGAGGAGAGATCTACAGATCAGTGTTAACTCTGGTCAACATAGAATTTTTCAAAATTTCCCTACTATCAATTTTTTTTTGCACATTCATTGTTGTATATTCATGGTTTTGCACATTCAAGAACTAACAGGAGTCACAAATTAGTATTGGTGAACAGAATGTGTCCCAGATGCCTATTAAAAGGGGTTAATCATCAAATTACTGAAGAAGAGCAAATACCACCAATTGTAATGATCGGATAGCACCCATTCTTCTTTCAGACTCTGGCAAGGTCTTACACATCATCCTAACTAAGCAATTGCTGGATGCAATGAACAAGCACCTACAATAGATGCTCATGTAATGAACAAATCTTTATACTACAAAACAACACTGAACACAACATTGATTATCAATGGCTACTTCCAATAAACTACATCAATTTAGAAAAAAAGCTTTTAACAGAACAGAATAACAGAGTTGGAAGGGACCTTGAAGGTCTAGGTGAACCCTCTGCTCAAGCAGGAGAACCTATACCATTTCAGACAAATGTTTGTCCAGTCTCTTCTTAAAAGCCTCCAGTGATGGAGCCTCCACAATTTCTGAAGGCAAGCCATTTCACTGGTTAATTGTTCTCATTGTTAGGAAATTTCTCCTTAGTTCTCCTTCTCTTTTTGATTATTTTCCATCCATTGTTTCTTGTCTTGCCTTCTGGTGCTTTGGAAAATAGGTTGACCCCCTCTTCTTTGTGTCATTCCCTTAAATATACCGCTATCATGTATAGGAAGAAAAGAAGGAAGGAAGGAAGGAAGGAAGGAAGGAAGGAAGGAAGGAAGGAAGGAAGGAAGGAAGGAAATTTTGAGGCTATTGGCTGGTAGTTAGTTTGTCCCAACAACAATGGCTGAATCTACTCAGAAGATTCCATTGCCTTTCTTCCCTAGGTAAAGCATAACCTGCTTTATTGTGGGGGTCACATACATTCATGGTAATAGAACAGCTGTTCCCCAAGAAAGAAATTGCTTCAGCAATAAATAGGATCCAATCTAGTTTTATAAATAAAGTTTTTGTTCTTTCTTTCCTGGTTTCTCCTCAATAAAACTCAGTTATGTAATGTATTACTGGGCTTAGCACTGTGTCTCTAATTATGCATCTTGATATGGTAGCACTTTTCCTGACTAACATATTTTATCAAAAAGTATAAGCTTTCGTGAGCAGCAGCTCACTTCATCAGATGCATAGAGTGGGCAGACAGTCTTAGGAGTTAAACTAGAGTGAGATGGGAGGGAAAGAAGGGAGGAGAAGAAGAATTAGTTATGCAGATACAGGTGTCATGTAAGAGAAGTTACAATTACCTTATTAATTAATAATTGCACTGTGCATATCTGGCATACAGTTATCTTTCTTTGTGAGATTTTGAAGATGGTCTTCAATGGGAAGATGGGGCTGGTCAAAGAATTTTAGCACCTACAGTACTATAATATTCTTGACTGGGACATTTCAGTAAGTGGAGGTGTGCTAAAGGCTAAAAACGTCCTCTGATTCTTTTTTACAGCATGAAGGAATACGATCAAATATTCCATTGTCATCTCACTTAGCTTAGATTAGTCTTGCTGAAAACATGAGAAGGGAGAGATCCCAATATAGATAGTCCTCATCTTCAAGGCAGTTGTTAAGTGA